AAAGGTATACAAAAAAAAACACTTGCAAAAAAATATTTACATCAAGGATAAGTAGGGAAATTTAATAGGAGGAAAAAGCGAGCAAATGCAAAGATGAAACCAATACTTCCAAAAACTACTGAATGATGAACCCAAATGGCAGAAAGTAGTAGAAGAAGAAAAAGCAGCAGAAGAGGAAGAAGAAGCAAATGAAAGCCCTGTGTACACCGGAACCCACAGAAAAAAAAATAATAGAAATTATTTCAAATATGAAGAACAATAAAAACTCCGGATCAAACAAAATTACCGCAGAGAAACTAAAACATGGAGGACAACAACTAATAACACAAATGATACAACTAATCAAAGAAATATGGAAAGCGGAAGAAATGCCACTAAATTGTGGGAAAGCAGTAATACTGCCAATATATAAGAAAGGGGGCTCAGCAGACTGTGGAAACTATCGAGGTATAGCTTTGCTGGACGTTACATATAAAGTACTAGCCACGTTAATAAAAAGAAAAATAGAAGTAGAAGGAGAAAAAATTATCGGAGAATACCAATGTGGCTTTAGAACAGGCAGGTTAACGACTGACCAAATCTTTATTTTAAAACAGGTACTCACATGTTGCTACGAATACGAATTACCAACACATATTTTGTTTATTGATTTAAAAGCGCATGTGATACAGTAAATCGACGAAAATTGGTAAATGCTTTGAAAGAGCTAAAAATAACTCATAAACTTGTAAAACTGACGAACAGGACCCTGGAAAATACAAGGTGTGCAATAAGAGTAGGAGGTGAGGAAACCGAAGAATTTAAATTCCAAAACGGGCTTAGGCAGGGAGACCCATTATCCACCCTTCTTTTTATCTTATTTCTTGAAATAGTCATCAGAAACAGTGAAATAAACAGATATGGAACCTTAATCAACAGATTCCACCAAGCATTAGCATACGCAGATGATATTGTACTGTTAGCGAGAAGCCAAAAATAACTTAGAAACATAACAGAACAGTTATTAGATGCGGCAGGAACAATGGGGCTAAAAATAAATGAAAAAAAAGAGTCAGTACATGCAACTGAAAAACAAACATTTAAGAAAAAATCCTGGAAAACTAGAATTGCAAACAAAAACCATAGGAAAAATAACAATAGACGAAACAGACAGTTACATGAAGAACAAGCTGAAATAGATCTCCGTCTACCAAAGAGCAATAGATGCGCAGGAGCTTTACATAATTTACTTAAATCTAAAGAATTGTCATGGGAAATAAAGAAATGTGTGTACAAAACAATAAACATACCTACAATGCTATACGGTAGTGAGACATGGACACTAAACAAGAAAAAACAGACCAAAATTGAAATATGGGAGCGGAAGATACTAAGAAGAATATATGGGGGCAAAAAGACAGAAGAAGGATGGGAAAGACGAACAAACAAAAAAATTTACGAAATATTTAACGAACCCAACACATACGAAATAATACAGTCAAAAAGGTTACAATGGTTGGGGCACTTAGAAAGGAGGACTCAAGGTGGACTCAAGGACAGTAAAAAGAGTAGCTTGGACAACACCAGAAAGAAAAAATAGAGAGGAAGGCCTAGAAGGAGATGGAGGGAAATGATTATAGAAGATATTAAGGAAAAAAGATCATCAACTGGAAAGAAAAAGCCAAGAATAGGGACGAATGGAAGAAACTAACCAGGCCATAGACCTTGTCTGTTTCGAGCCTTCTATAAATACATTTTTATTTATTTTTATTAATTTTTATTAATTTTTAATTATTTTTATTAATTTTTATTATTTTTTATTAATTTTTATTAATTTTCATTAATTTTCATTAATTTTTATTAATTTTTATTAATTTTTATTAATTTTTATTAATTTTTATTAATTTTTATTAATTTTTATTAATTTTTATTAATTTTTATTAATTTTTAATAATTTTTAATAATTTTTATTAATTTTTATTAATTTTTATTAATTTTTATTAATTTTTATAAATTTTTATTAATTTTTATTAATTTTTATTAATTTTTATTAATTTTTATTAATTTTTATTAATTTTTAATAATTTTTAATAATTTTTATTAATTTTTATTAATTTTTATTAATTTTTATTAATTTTTATTAATTTTTATTAATTTTTATTAATTTTTATTAATTTTTATTAATTTTTATTAATTTTTATTAATTTTTATTAATTTTTATTAATTTTTATTAATTTTTATTAATTTTTATTAATTTTTATTAATTTATATTAATTTTTATTAATTTTTATTAATTTTTATTAATTTTTATTAATTTTTATTAATTTTTATTAATTTTTATTAATTTTTATTAATTTTTATTAATTTTTATTAATTTTTATTAATTTTTATTAATTTTTATTAATTTTTATTAATTTTTATTAATTTTTATTAATTTTTATTAATTTTTATTAATTTTTATTAATTTTTATTAATTTTTATTAATTTTCATTAATTTTTATTAATTTTTATTAATTTTTATTAATTTTTATTAATTTTTATTAATTTTTATTAATTTTTATTAATTTTTATTAATTTTTATTAATTTTTATTAATTTTTATTAATTTTTATTAATTTTTATTAATTTTTATTAATTTTTATTAATTTTTATTAATTTTTATTAATTTTTATTAATTTTTATTAATTTTTATTAATTTTTATTAATTTTTATTAATTTTTATTAATTTTTATTAATTTTTATTAATTTTTATTAATTTTTATTAATTTTTATTAATTTTTATTAATTTTTATTAATTTTTATTAATTTTTATTAATTTTTATTAATTTTTATTAATTTTTATTAATTTTTATTAATTTTTATTAATTTTTATTAATTTTTATTAATTTTTATTAATTTTTATTAATTTTTATTAATTTTTATTAATTTTTATTAATTTTTATTAATTTTTATTAATTTTTATTAATTTTTATTAATTTTTATTAATTTTTATTAATTTTTATTAATTTTTATTAATTTTTATTAATTTTTATTAATTTTTATTAATTTTTATTAATTTTTATTAATTTTTATTAATTTTTATTAATTTTTATTAATTTTTATTAATTTTTATTAATTTTTATTAATTTTTATTAATTTTTATTAATTTTTATTAATTTTTATTAATTTTTATTAATTTTTATTAATTTTTATTAATTTTTATTAATTTTTATTAATTTTTATTAATTTTTATTAATTTTTATTAATTTTTATTAATTTTTATTAATTTTTATTAATTTTTATTAATTTTTATTAATTTTTATTAATTTTTATTAATTTTTATTTATTTTTATTTATTTTCAATTATTTTTATTTATTTTTATTTATTTTTATTTATTTTTATTTATTTTTATTTATTTTTATTTATTTTTATTTATTTTTATTTATTTTTATTTATTTTTATTTATTTTTATTTATTTTTATTTATTTTTATTTACTTTTATTTATTTTTATTTATTTTTATTTATTTTTATTTATTTTTATTTATTTTTATTTATTTTTATTTATTTTTATTTATTTTTATTTATTTTTATTTATTTTTATTTATTTTTATTTATTTTTATTTATTTTTATTTATTTTTATTTATTTTTATTTATTTTTATTTATTTTTATTTATTTTTATTTATTTTTATTTATTTTTATTTATTTTTATTTATTTTTATTTATTTTTAATTATTTTTATTTATTTTTATTTATTTTTATTTATTTTTATTTATTTTTATTTATTTTTATTTATTTTTATTTATTTTTATTTATTTTTATTTATTTTTATTTATTTTTATTTATTTTTATTTATTTGTATTTATTTTTATTTTTTTTATTTATTTTTATTTATTTTTATTTATTTTTATTTATTTTTATTTGTTTTTATTTATTTTTATTTATTTTTATTTATTTTTATTTATTTTTATTTATTTATATATTTTTACAGCACCCCTGTTTCTGCCTCCTTAAAATGTAAAAATCAAAAACCTTAAAATGCGTTATTATTTATTATAATGAGTACCTAAAACTCCAATTTTTAGGTTTCTACCTTTAAAAAATCGATACGCCCATACAAACTTTAACCCCCGTTTCCCCACGTGAAAATTCAAAACCCCGAAATACGTCACTATTTATTTATACTCAAAGTTGTATTTCAAATTTTCATGTGTCACAACCTCTTTCAAAAAATCATGTTGACGGATGCTCTGTGAAAAATAAAAACAAATCTGTCCCACGGGAACCGTCCATTTTCTTGGATATGTGAATATAATCTATCTCTATGCCGATGCACAACAAAATAAAACAAAATGTAGGTGTGACCAATCTAAATACAATACAATTTACAATTTTTAAAAATATGTTGATGAAAAACAATAAACTACGAGTATAATAAATTAATAATGTTTTCCTTTATTCCTTTATATCACCAAGCGGATGGAGATTCACTATCGTTAAGTAACCGCCTATTAATGTTTTGAGATGCGAGCACGCGAATTGACTAAAGACGACGCTTAACTTACACACAATAAAGTTTAATAAAATGTGTATCCGCACGAGGGTGCCACATTACAAGTTCATAAAATGATGTCACTTGTAGTGATTTTGCAGACATGCTTTATCCTGATTTGTGACATCATATACACAATTCATCAAATTTAAAACAACCGAACATAACTAAAATTTAACATGTGTCACAGATTCATTACCGAAATATCATTTCATAAATTGATGAATATTTTTAATATATGTTAGATTTGCTATATTATAATAAGTTTTGCTGTGCGATCGGAGTGTAAGAGGCCACAAGTCGAAACAGAGGCCACTTCACAGGATTATGTACGCACAAAATGCCACAGCAATGCGGCGCGTACACACACACACACACACGCACGCACCCACGCACGCATGCACGCCCGCACGCACGCACCCACACACACACACACACACACACACACACACACACACACACACACACACACACACACACACACACACACACACACACACACACACACACACACACACAACAATACAAAAAATATATTAGTCTTTAATTGGTCAAGTTTTGTCTGTGATGAAGTCAAAATCGGTAAGTAAATGTCTTATTAGTGTTTTAGAAACATTAGATTAATCGAAATACTTGCATTAACAACTAAATTAGGTAATATAAGTATATTTTTGTTTATCATGTCAGGTACTATTTGTCTAGGGTCTAGGCTGACTCAATATCCAAAAACTTAATGATTTGGTAAATTAATTTAAAGTCATAATTGGAAAGATTGGGAGAAAACTTAAAAATAAGCAGCGGTAAAGATGAGGAACCAACAAAAATTATTTAAAAAATGTAATGATTATATTATGAATCCATTTGTGTATACAAGTTGTGTCAAAAAGGAGTACAAATATTTGAGGAAGTGATAGAATAATGAAGAGCACATTATTCTTCATATATTATCTTCTAAATGCAGCATAAGCATTACCCAGACATTTACTTAAACAAAACCAATAAAGGCAAACTTGTAATTTCATTCACCATATTTATGAATAACATCTATTATGCAGTTACATGTTAAAAGTAAAATTATTCAAAAACGGTTCACTCTATCGCGTTTAATTTCGAATACCTGTTTTGTTGGAAAAACTATGGAAATTTGTTTTTCTTAAACCAATAAAATTTAAAAAAAACCCTTAACTACCCTCTAAAAATTATTTTTCTTTTATCAAAAATCAAATAAAAGAACTATTAAGTTCTCCAAGAAATTAAGAATTGATGGTTTGCTCCAGTTGGAAGTTAGCTCCAAAAAACTGGTTTTTCCATTCCCTTTTTAAGATGATTTATCTCCCTTATTTCAAAGTTTCGAACATTAGTTTATATAGCAAACTGATCATAATTTTCATTGTTCTATCACTTCCTAAAAAAATTGTATTCGATTTTGACTCACTATGTATAAGAAATAACTCTTTTCAATGCGGAGTGTTTCCGGATTAATTAAAAATAACCTGCACAATTCCTGTTTTTCAAAAAGGGGACGAAAAAAAAAGTGGAAAATTACAGACCCTGTATAGTGAATTGCCTAAAAACCGTCTTACCACCATATCCATGATACGATGAATACACCATCCAGCTCAAACATGTGCACCAAACTGGCCTCATTAAACTGTGAGTGATGGATAGAGCCGTATGGCCATGTCCAATAAAAGTCACTTCATGATTAATCAGTGTTATGAAAAGCATCAAAATACATACAGCTGTCCATATTATAAAATTATAATACTAAAAATCAAGAAGCCTTTAAAATAATAATTGCATAACATTGATTTGACGTTTGATATTTTTTACTTACCGACGGTGATTTAATTTTTCCAAACCAGGATATCTTATTTTTTGCTTCTTGCATAAATATTCCAAACGTGATACCAATTGTGAAATTTATCAGTCTTGAATGAGTATCAAATGTACTGCAAAATTAATATGAGTATCAGTAGCTTTTTTTATTTTTATCGAAAACAATAACAAAGCCTAAATATAATAATGATTTAATATTATGTGAAATAATCCCTAAACTTTCCCACCGAATTCTGATACCTACTATGAACTGTTATCAGAAAACTACTGAACCAAATAATCTCATATATTATGGTATTCCATTAATTTTAATATTTATCAAACTTACTTGTCGTAGTCTGTAAAGACCAGTTTAATTGTTAATGGAAGTATGATGAAAAACACATTTATACCAGTCATGGCCACCATAACCAGTTTCAAATTTTGTGGACTTTTGGCAAGTAAGACAGCGGCAGGTATCAAAAGTATGGGTGAAAATATGAACATTTGCATATCAGCTGACAGGTACCAAGTTTGAATCATACACTAGAAAGTAAATAAAAAATAGTTCCTGTAAAGTTATCAAATATATTGTGTACGGTATATTTATTCGAAAAGCGTTTACAATATGAATTAAAGATAAATTTTTACAACCTTTTTATTTGAAATATTTTTCAAATCTTTACTGCTATTACGGTCCATAAAAAAAAATCATGTATGTGACAAAAATGGTAGAAAAAACATCAAAAATTAAGCTTATACCTTAGATTAAAAAGACCGAAGATGTAACATTGCACACTGCGCATGTTGAATATTTTAACCCCAAGTAACCCACCAATTAAAAATCATTGTTTGCACGACGCCACCCGAATTGCTCGGATTTTTCCATTCAACGCTCGCCTACTCCTGAGTTCAATCACCATTGACAGCTATTTTTTAATTTATTTGTTGGTATTTTAGCAATTTAAAGTGTTCTAGTTATTTAATTTTAAGTACAAAATGCCACGATGTATCTTGTATATACCTATAATACAAGTACCAATGTTATGAAAGATAAAAAATATATTCGTTTTCAGTGGTAAATATTTATTAACGTTTTGACAAAAAGCGCCATGATCCTTTGGGCTGAATACTTCAGATCCACATTTAGGGGTTTCAATAAATATTAAGCATCAAATACATATTTCAGAAAACAGATTTCATATTACTTACATAAATATACAAAAAGGTAAAATTTTGAACATTTAATTTAAATAAGAAGTAAATAGGCATTGTTGCTAACGAAATTTTGTTTTTAAAAAGTTGTTTTATAAGAATATTGACTAAAGGTGGTTTTAAGCCCTCTTAAGTAGATAAATAAGAAGTAAAGAAGCATAGTTGCTAGCTAAATTTTATTTTTATAAGAATATTAGATGAAATGACCTACTTAAAATTTCACGGTTTATCTAATTTGCGGTCAAATCGAAAGTGACATTTGATTCTTAAGTCTTAAAACAAAGTAAAACGCACAATATGATCTAGTATAAGCAAAAAAAAATAGTAAAGTTACTTGAGTTAGTCACATTGCATTGTAAATAAAATGTTACATTATAATCCCCTAAACAACTCGAACAAAATTTTCGTTTACTAAAAAAAATCCAAATTCTAGCAATATTATTTATTTATTATACAATCGAATACGGTTTCAAAGATAACGGGATCAAAAAATCCGAATCTCTAAATTTTGGAACTAAATGCTCGGATAAAAGCAAGCGACACATAGGGGTTACAAAAATATTCGATTTATCGATTATTCTGATATTTTTTTATGAAAATCGATGTATCCGTTATTTTCAATAAATTATTTTTGTTTTTTTAAGGTAATATAATAATCTATTTTAAAGGAAATACAAAAAGAAAGTAGATTTATTCAAAATAATCGATTGACTGAAGATAACCTTTTTTTGGAAAATCGATTTATCGTTTAATTGTTTTTTTTTAATCGATTATTTTCAATTTTTCAATAGTATTATATAAAAGTAATCGATTGATCGAATATAATCGGTTATTTTATATAACCGATATTTCGATTATATTTAAGAATTATCGATTTATCGGTTAATCAGCTTCTTAATAATCGATTATTTTTGATTTATCGAATATTTTCGATTTTCAAAGATAATAAAATAATCAACTTTAAAGGATTAATAGAAAATACCTAATCGATAATTCGGTTATTTTTTGGAAAATAGATTTATCGTAGAATCGGCTTCTTAATTAATTGGTTATTTTCGATTAAGCGATTAAGCGATTATTTTAGAATAATCAATTATTCGTTTTTTTTTTTTGTAAATCGATTTATCAGTTAATCGACTTTTTAATTAATCGATTATTTATGATTAATCGGTTATTTTAGATTTTTCAAAGATTATCGAATAATCTGTTTCAATTGACAAAAAACGAAATGGATTATTTGAAAATAATCGATTGTTTAAAATAAACGATAATTCTCTTATTATTTTTTGTACACTGATTTATCGGTTAATTGGCTTTTTAATTAATCGATTATTTTTTATTTTCAAAAATAATCAAGTAGTCAATTTAAAAGGATATACGACAAAAAATAGACTGAATAATCGATCGATGGAAAATAATCGATTATTTTCAATGATCGATAATTTATTACGATAATCACCAACCCCTAGCGATCAAATGACTTTTTAGGTTTAAATTTTAAAATGTTATTTGGTTTCAGACATATGCATTTCTAGAGTTTTATGTGATTCATCCTCTATATTAATTAATATTCCTAAAGAAAGAAGCTGAGGTTACAATACAGAACAGCATTTTCTCATTTTGACTAATTTTCAATATTATGTAATAGCCGTAGAAAAAATATAATGTTCAACTCACAAGGTTTAATTTGCAGTATTCGCCTGCGCACATGCTTTTTTTATAATACTCGTGGACAATGAGTGCCATTTCTTGATCTATTAACAATATTATATTTTAACATTTTACTGTAGTCTCTTGCTGAAAAGTTCGTAGTAAATAAACGCTAACGAAATATTCTATAGAAGGTCTTTTCTTTACATAAAATGTCGTGGCATCTATTTGATATTAAAAAAATCAAGAAAATTTTATTTCATAATACAAAATTCAATTAAACATATATTTTAAATAAATCTAATAGTTCATTATGATGCTAATAAACAAAGCCCGGTCCCTGTCACTGAGTTCGGGCCCAGTTTCCCCACTCCGTTAACCCAAACAGCAAAGTACGTCTTAAGTATGTACAGTTTTGGTACTGTACGTACAGGACGTAAAATGTACGTTTTAAGTACGTACACAATAGTACGTATAGAAAAATACGTACTAAGTACGTGCATAAGTGTACGTAATCCTTGTGCATACCTATTTTATTGAAAAACCTAGTTTTTTACCAAATTTCTGTTCACCGTAGGCCAAAAAATACAAAGAAGAAACACCATTTATTTAACCTAACCTAAACTCTAAACTAAACTCGCTCGTTTTCTCAAGTGTTGCAAGCAATCACGTTTCAACAGTTTGTTTTTGTTAATTTTACATGTTTAGGGATTTAACTATTAAGTGTTTCTTTAAATAAATAATTGTGTATAATTTATTATAATTGAACAAGATATTTTTTTAGACTATTTAGTGCGCGTTATAAGTACATAGTTTCGTTATTTTATTATGGTGAGTAGTTTCATTTTAATTTAAAAAAATTATGTGTAATAACTATAATTTATAGATACCTATGTGATCTCATCCCATAGTAAACATTACAAAAATGCTTCTTTCAATGTAAAAAATTAAATAAATACAAATTAACTTGTTTACTTTTCTTTATATTGTACTAATACGTACATTATAAACCATAAGTAAGTACCAATAAGGATATAAAGTACGTCTAGAATACGTACTCTATTGGAATAAGTAAAAACATAGTACGTACATAGTATGTATATTAAGTACGTACACGGTACGTACAATAGGTACGTACAGAGTACGTACTTTAAGTACGTACTAGGTACGTACCGTCGTTTTGAAAATGTACGTACTATGTACGTACTTCGTACAGTAAATTACGTACATAGTATGTACTTTACGTCCCATCAGTACGTACATAGTACGTCTTATGTACGTATGTATGTTTGTTGGCGACCTTTCTTTAGAAATTAACAACATTTGCTCAGGTTACACCGATGTATTTTATATCGCTGGTCTTTTTTATCTAAGTCTTATATAGAAAATGTTCTTCTCTAATCATAAATAAAAGAAATATACGTTAAAAAAACGTCCCCTTTAAACTACTCCCTTTAGATGCTCCGACTATGTCCAAAGTATAATAAGCTCACCACCGCATGATGGATTAAAGCTTAAATATTTGAAACTTAGTATTTTTAAATAATACCTTCCTGAGTTATCGTGGATTTAAAGGACCTCAAAATGTGAAGGTCCGTCTAAAACTTGAGGTCCAAAACATCATAATTCCTGTACATTCATACTTTACTTACGGGTTACAAGAAAGTTAACATTGTAACAATGCAGAAGAAAATTTGCAACAAGAAAAAAGTTAAAAGTAAAAAATTAAAAATCGTTAAAAAAACCAGCAAAAAAATGGTATTAGACCAGAGCATACTGGCGCATTCGTTTGCAAAATTGTTTTAATTCGTATTTTTTTATCTAAATATCCGGAAGGCTTTCCTGATTATAGAAGTGTAAGATGACACTCGATATTTGTTGATGTTATTGTTTAAACAACGAAAAATTAATTAAGCCAGAAAAAATGCATTTTTTGCAATTAATTAATTTTTTTATATTCTTTAGTATATTTCGAATAAAAAAAGTGCCTACGCCCATCATCGTATCTTCAACCCTTTAATTGTTATGAATTTTTTAAAATCCAAAATTGACGAAAATTCTAATTTTCTTGAATTAAATAATATACCTTAAAATTTAAAATGCTATAATTTTAAATTTTTTTACGGAATATTCAAACTATAATAAAAAAAAATTACCTTAATAAATTTTAAAAATTTTGTTTGTTGTTGTTTTTTTTTTACGTTATAAAAATATGTTTCCTACGCGCCACGATGCCACGAAAAAGATTGTTTACTAGTATTTTCATTAAACAACAAATTAAATCGCACAGTCACGTTATCGTTTCGACGAAGAGTTGCAGTTTTTAATTTTAAATATGTATCAGGTTTCGGACACTTCACTAACACCTCGCCATGATCACAAAATAAACACTTTTTGTCGTCAGGTAATCTAATTTTTTTTGGAATTAAAGAGAACGACATTATTACTCAGAAAATTACACGACTGCAAAGTAAACCAGTAGATGTAGAATCGAGCAAGACTGATTAACAACTGAAAAATAATTTTCAAAACGAGCCACAAATTTTAAGGTAGGGTTGAATTTTCTATTTATAAGGTTGTAAAAATTTGTTTATGACAGGAAAAAAAATAGAAGAAAAGTTAAACGTACAATTTTTTCAAAATACGAAATAAGTCCCTTTACCTGTGTGTATTCATAGTGCAAAAGATTGAAAGTCATAAAAAATATTCATTATAGCACTTACTCTCAATATTAAAAAAAAAAATATTTTTTCCCTTATTTTTGTTAAATGGAGTAAGGCTTGGATATTTTTGAAATCATAAAATTTTATAACCTTAGTATGCCTACTATGTTCATTGTAACAGGTAGAAATTTTTCACGGATCACGACAAGTGCATTTGGCCTTTTTATCGTATTGAAAAAAAAGAAGGTTGAAAAAGATTTTACTTCTCAGGCAGTATCTGACAATAATTTTTTCATTAATAAAAATAAATGTTAAAAATAAATGTTTCTGTTAACTTTAATAAATAAAAAAGTTATCAAAAGTATCTAAAAAAGTGAAAAAAAAATCACATGATAGATAGATAGATAGATAGATACTTTATTGTTTTAAAATATAAAATTTTATAAACAAAGTCTAAGTTCTTATAGTACTAATAGGTATTTACACAATTTAAAATTAAAATAAGAATATAAAATTAGGTATTTACACAATTTAAAATTAAAATATAAAAATGTAATTAAAATAAAATAGAATTGCTAAATATTACAGTACACATAAAATTTTAGTTAAAATTATCATTATAAAATTCTTCAATAGAATAATAAGTTTTTTAGCATAATTTTTTTCACACTTCCATAGAATACTTTATAAAACTATTAATCGGCAAATATAACAAAGTGTTATGAAAAATGTTAATAATAATTTTTTGAAACTTATTACCTCTGAAAAACAGCAAAAAATTGATTCAGCGCGTCATCGGGCTTTCTCTTACCCATCTTATACATTGAGTTGGAAGTAAGATAGAAGTACTTCTCTCTAAAAGTACACGCGCGTAGGAAGCATATTGTTATAACGTAAAAAAAACATAACAACAAACAAAATTTTGAAAATTTATCTAGGTTATTTTGTTTATTATAGCTTGAATATTCGGCAAAAAATTTAAAATTATAGCATTTTAAATTTTAAGGTATATTATTTAATTCAAGAAAATTAGAATTTTCGTCAATTTCTGTTTTTAAAAAAGTCATAACAATTAAAGGGTTAAAGATGCGATGATGGGCGTAAGGACTTTTTTTATTCTAAATATCCTAAATAATATAAAAAAAATTAATTTACTTCAAAAAATGCTTAATTAATTTTTCGTTGTTTATACAATAACATCAACAAATATCGAGTGTCATTTTACACTCTTATAATCAGGAAAGCCTTCCGGACATTTTAAAAAAAAATTACGAATTAAAACAATTTTGCAAACGATTGCGCCACTATGCCCTGCACTATATAACATTCGAAAAAAATTTAAAAAATTGAAAGAACCGATAGAAAAATTAAATTCACAAAAATAAAATTAGCAAACTTACGACATCACCATAATTGACATAGTTTTGTAAATAAAAAAAAAAAGACCACCAATATTTATGGCAAGGGGCTACAATGTTATCTACGCCAACTTTCCAAATAGGCCCAGTTCCAAAATGTTTAAATAATGTAATAGTGAAAAAGTACATCATAGCTACAGCTGGTGTTATCCTAAAAAATAATTCTTATGATAGATATAGAAATTACTCAGTGGCCGAAACCGAAATATGAACGTCAACATTTAATGGCGTGATTTTAGTTGTCAGTCGCATTCAAAAATGTCAGCTCTTAAAAATGTTTGTCAAATAAATTTTTATTTAACTGAGGCTCAAAAGTCGATTATTATAACAAAATTTAATGAAAATTGGATGTGGCTGCTGAATTAAAAGTCAGTAAAAGTTGTATATTTGGGTTGCGTCGACTGTACTACCAAAGCAATGCTGAACGGTGTGATATCAGTGACAGTTGTCAAAGCATAACTATTTAATGCTCGTTTACCTAAAATACCTATGGATGATTAAATATGGAACTCCCAAAAGCTGCTTTACTAGAGGTTTACTTTTTTGTTTCATGTATAAAAATCCCATCAAAAATCCAGACATATAGAAAAACGTATCGACACACAGTGTTGCTGCAGATATATAGGCTGTTTTTAAAGAAGTTGCAACCTGAAATAAAAAAAATACACAAGTTTGTTTTAAAATGGAAGCAGAAAATATATGAAACTGTTTACTCATCAAAAATTCATCAGTAATTTTTTAAATTATAATATAGAAGAAACGGTGACTGTAAACAATACGGACACAACAATTTTCACTATTTTCGCTTTATTGTTAATGCAAATGATACTACTTACTATTTTTGATCAATTTAACTGCGGCCAAACTAAAATTACCAAAGTTAATATAAAAATATTTTGTATTAATCCGAAAATAAATAATTTTTTTTATATAACCTCAATTTTCTTAAAAAAAACCTCTATTATTATCTATAGCCTTGTTGTCAATTTTTTAAGTGTCTGTATTTGATCAAATATCGTACAATCGATAACACCATCGATGGTAACGTACTCTTTTACTCTTTTACATTTAATTTTCAACCATATCCAGCGATTTATACATTCATTTTAATTAAAATACTTTTTGAAAACTTTTAAACCTAATTACTTTGCGTAATACAAAAGTTTTTAAACTATTTTTAAAATATAAAATTTATCTTATTATGCATTGTCAACCTTAGACTAGGTAATAAAGAAAGGACGCGTAACAAGTATATCGAGAACACGTAGTATTCTGTGCCGATTATCTATTGGCCGCCATTATTTTGGTGCTAATTATTTCGGTGACACCAAAGTTTTTGTTCATGTTTATTTCTGATTTTTGAATTAAACGAAATTTAATAATTGGTTTATCACAATGGTTTATTTTGTGGCATATCAGTGTTAAAGTTATAGCGGCAAGAAATAAGCAGATCTTACGTTTTACATGTAAATGATAAACATCAATCGTTTTCACTTTATATATTATTTTCTTATATTTTTCATTTTATTTGGTGTTATACAACTTTGTATTTACATAAAATATTGTACATCTCTTACTCTAGAATAATAAATTTTACCCACTAAGTTTGTTTATTTTATGCTTTTCATTGATATTTAAGCAATTAATGACATTAAAATGGCCAAACATGTAACTTTTTCTAGTGGCGTGTCGTACAATTCTAAATATTAACTTTCATTAAATTATAATTTATTTTGCTTCATATTTAATTGCAGCAATGTTTCTTTGTTGTTTTATTTTAGATTTCCTGTGGATCCAGCAAAAATCTTTGGATTCAGACAACGAAAATTGCAAATTGGATACCTACACCAAATGATAGATAGTGTTCAAAACATTTTAAAAGACATTTTTTTATGGGACGGACTGTAAAAGACGTTTACTAAATGGAGCAGTTTCCACTATATTTCCTGAATTCTCTAAATACATGCAGCCGAAGAAGGTGCGTATACTAATAAACATAAATACGTATATATTTTTTTAAATACTTTTCATTATTATGTTATGAACTTTTAAGAATTTAGCAACCTTTTCGTGTATAATTGAAAACATTACCGTAATAATTGATTGTTTGTAGTACTTAAAAAGAAGAGAATTGGATTTGGAAGCTGAGCCAGGCCCTTCAAAAAGACCCTCAAATAAGGAATCTATCCTAGAAAGCCCTAGAATAAAACGGTTTACAAGACAACTTTTACAACAGGTAGAAAAGAATAAAGACAAAAACAAGACAAAGCAAAGTTCATAAATAAAAACTTAAAAAATATAAAAAAAGAGTTGTTCGCTAAAACTTCTTGTTATTGTACCAAATTAGTATTATTTAAGGGTCAGTAATAAATTTATCTTCATTTATGTATAATTTTTCTTACTAGCTTAATTAAATAATATCCAGATAGCTCACTACATCTTAAAGAAGTCCAGTAGCGACACTCCGTGTGCCATCGCTTTCGACATATAGTTGTCTACAATCGATTTCTACTGTAGAATTCTATAAACGCTTTGCCGGTACTCCGTGTGACAGTCGATTCATGGATGTCAAAACATCGGACATTCTCGGAGGTTTACTAAACGATCTAAAAATGTTTGCATGAATTATAGAGAGATTTGTTACTTTTTGTCAAATATGTCAATTTCTGACAGATAAGGTGCCGCTTTGATTTTGATTTTAAGTTTGTGTTATCTAGTTTTTGCTTTGATTTGTAATAATGGTCCCTTTGTTTGTGGCCAATATATTAGCTGCTTAAAAGGAGGAACGACTATAACATCTTCGTTTGGAAAATATAGATAGGCTAGTAATGAGAGAGACAAGCGATCCATTCTCTATAGAAAATGTAAGATTTGTAGAGTTATTTCGATTAAATAAAGATATATCCCAGTATAAAATGGAATTATGTCGAGAGCTAAAGGGGAAAAACGGCCATTATAAACACCTTCTCAGGGGAATGGATTCGCTTTCCTAGAACTCTACAGGAAAAACAACAAATTTAGTTATGTTTCATAGAAACAAGAAATTTTCCAGGGATAATTGGAGCAGTATATTGTACCCATGTTGAAATCCTGCGACCAAATGAAGAGAAAAATAAGTGAATCGGTTTTTTTGGAAAAGGGTACATCTACTTAAATTTAATTCATTTGTGACCCTTTCCAAACTTATTTACAATAAAAGATTAAAAATCTGATACATTATTTATTAAACATAGTTTTACAATGATATTATTAAGTAAGTTTGGAGACATCTGTCGGCAGTCAAGTAAAATTATTTGTTTTATTGGGGAATATCCTGGATTTAGGATTTAAAATTATTATCTTTTTTATACTGATGCTGTGGTTGTATGTGCCTCTTCAGCAGGAAGATTCGCCTTGGACCTAGCAGATTTTGCTGTTAAAAAAATATGGCAGAATAAACCTATTAATGTTTACACCACACACCATAATAAAAAATTCACTTGATTTAACAACAAAGCTAATGGCTTTACCGTAATTCTTATTTTTATGTTTGTTACTTTTTTTTCATTTTAAATTAAATCCAATGTCATGTTTTAAAATCAAAACAAAAATGTATGACGGTTTGCCTACTTTTGTAGAAAACTATATGTCTTGACGTCTCGCTTCGTGGCGACAGTTACAGTCGACTCCTGGCGATTATTTGGAGACACGGAGTGCCAATCGATAGGATTGAAGTGATCGGTAGAATTCTTTATGATACGGAGTCCCTGTGCTGTTCATGTCTTACTTTCGTCCAAACGTCTTGGTACGTAAAACGGACGGTTTTAAGATGCCTTGCTCAAGTCATGTTTAAAACGTCTTTGTTGGGATGTCTTTAGGATATTTTAAATATGTAATTAATGTGGACGTTCAACTCTTTTCACTATATTTAAATAAGCCGCCATGACAGCGTTCTTGGCACTGCCTGCAGCGCATATAGATCGTCATTCGTCATTGACATTGGCTGATTGGAGTCACGCGCGCGCGTATCGAATCGTCTTCTTCCTCTAGCTGACTTTTTCGTGGTTGTGTGTTTTTATATATTGTCTTTTTATATTATTTATTTGCCATTATTGGAACTGTGGTATACCGGAACTAGTACACTTTATCATTAAAAACGGTAAGTTTTAATTTATTTGTCTTTTAATTTCATAACCTCACTTTAATAATGTCTTATTTTTTAGAAAAACACCTTAAAACAATAACTCAACAAAATTATGTGCTACGGAGACATTAGTTACAGACGCTTTGGCTAAAATTAATAAAATAAAAGAAATTTTTAAATCGACCAAACTGGAATAGTTTCTCATAGCAACAAGTACTTGAAGTCATTTTTTAATTATTTTATCCAACACTGTAAAATGATATTTATTCTGTGTTAGTTTTAATAGTTTAATAATGTATAATAGACATTATTAAATATAGTAGACAAGTATTTTTTTTTAAATGAATTTCCATCAAGTAAATAGACATAAACACGTCCAATACGGTTTGTTTTCAAGAGGTACAAAACTGGATATCTTAAAGACGTACAAAATTAGATGTCCTAAAGACGCCTTGCTTTGTAACAAAGTACGTCCTATAGACGCCTTAAAAACATCTTTTGGATATTAGCTTAGATCTTTAAAACGTCACAAACGTTGTGAACAAACGTATTTAAGATGTCTTTAAAACGTGTCTGTGCTATCTGGGTAGTGTCATTCTCTATTAAGTAATAACAAATCTTTTTTGTAATACCTGTTTTATTTGGCGAAATTTAAAAAAAACACTCATTTTATAGTAGTATAGAATATGTACGTTCCAGCGCAGTACACCTTTTTTAAAAAACTAGCCAAAACTTCATGAAACTGAAGGAATATTGCAACAATTTTTTTATAATTCTTCAATATTTTCACAATTTTTTAATATTTCAAGATCGACGACTCTTAACATTTTACAGCACTTACTCAGGGCTGACATTAAAAATTACTTAAAAAATCTATATTTTAACAAATTTTTAAAAACCAAGTTTAAAGGTCACGTGACGTCAAAAAAATAAAAATCATAAAATTAATAAATGGAAGTAATTAAAAATTATTAAGTTACTAGGGATCTGAATTGATATATTAATGATTAGATTCTTTAAATTCTATTTTATTTAATTTATCTTCTTTCCCTTTATAAACAAATATCAAATTGGATGAATTACAACTTTCTAAATTCTTTTAATAAGATCTTTATAACTGTCAGATAAGAAAATAGTAAACGAATCATCCAATGTAACAACAGCTTCTTGATTCTAAAATTTGATGTTTTATATTCTTGGCCAATTAATAGTTCATCTATTTTTTTAGTTGGAAGTATTGTGAGGGTGTTAAGTTTTTTGACAAGATCCATTTTTAATTTTATGAAAATATTTAAATCTTTTTTTATTGTTTATAAAAAATTAAAAATACATTTAATTATTTTATACCAATCAACATGACTCTTCAATCATCTGAAAGAGGATTGGCGAGACGATAAGTTGAAAAATATTTTATAATATTTTAATTACATATAATTGTATAAAAAATTTTTATAAAGAAATGGCTGAGAAAATAAATTGTGAATGTAAAAAAATAGTAGCAAATAAACATGTATTTCAATATCACTTAAAAACTGAACTTCATGAAAACAACTTCAATTAAGTAAGAAATGTTTAAAATTTGTTATGAAAAAAAAAACATTGATGATTTTGATAAAACTAAAACATTTCCAAACGGTATTACATATAATTTTTAGCAAAACAAAATAAAATTTAATTCTCCTTATAAAATACTTGAATCCACTGATAGTTCATCAAATTTATTAAATAGTTCGAAGAAATTTATTTCTGTTAAAACATTCAATATTCATTGTAATTTGGCTAATGGAATGTTAGTAGAGAAACCGACATTATCTCTTGTTTTAAACTGAATTCTTATTTTAACAATTTGATAATTTATGAACCTACCCCTTTATATTATCCAATTCAGTTTAATAATATTAACAAAATTGAACTCAGAATTGTGATGAAAATGATGAATTAATTGATTTTAATGGAGCTGATATTACTGTAATCTTAGAGTTAAAGTATTTTATAAAAAAAATTTTCTTTATAAATGGATTATTAAAAAATATGGAGTCAGATCTCTAAATCTCCTGTTGTAACTGAGGAGTTTATAATTTTTTTCCAACAAGAAGTAAATTGGGATTTAATTTGTCGTTATCAAAAACTCAGTGAAGATTTTATGAGAACTTATTTAAATCAAGTTAATTGGAGTGTTGTTCCTAAATATCAAGTTTTGAGTGAAAAATGTATAGACGAATTTAAAGAAAACTTGGGAATATATTTGCAAGTATCAGAACTTATCTATGGACTTCATGAGGGCACACAAACATTGTTTGGATAAAGAAAATGTTGAATTGTATCAATATGTTAATGTTGATTTTTTAGCAGAAATTAGAAATTAGTTTCTTAGTTCCCGTACTATTAATTTTTTAACAAAAATCATAGAATAATAATTAACGGATGTTCAAAGGTCAAGTGCCCTGTATGTGCTGTAAAATATTACGAGTCGTCGATCTTGAAATATTGAAATATTGTGGAAATATTGAAGAATTGTAAAAAATTTTTATCCAAAACTCTTTTTGTAAATCTATTAAAATTCAAAAAATAGAAAAGTTATGACCGACGTTTTAAAATGTACACTCCTTCTTTTTACATTTACACCATAAGAACACGCTACGCTCGTCCCGCCCACGTCCTAACCACTACATAATACAGCAAGTGAAGTAATGATGTGTGAAAAGACCGTTGGTGGGACGAGCGTAGTTCTTATGGTGCAGGCCGACGTTTCAAAATTCGCGCGCCCGAGTTTTAAATTTAATTTCGTTCGAAAAACTATTTAAAAAATATATTTTTTTGTACTTTATAAATACTGGTCAACCCAGTATATTTCTTATTAAGCACCAAGGTGTATTTCTTATTAACTTGATTTATTTCACGAAATTTTCATCAAAACTTTTTTTGTAAACTTATCAGGAATGTACATAATAATAAGTTAAGTTACTTTTTGTTCACTCTGTATATAAATTTCGACTTTATCATGTCAAATTTCTTAAATATGAGTTCATTAAAAAGATGTTTAAAAAACATGGCCGGAGTATTTAAATTTATTACCTTCTATTTACAAATTTCTTATCATAAAATTTTATTTCTGGTAAAATAATCTTTTGAATATCTCAAATATCTATTAGTTTAGAAATAAACAAAATAAAACGTAATTTAAAAATAAGGCGTATTGATGTACGTTTTAAATGGGATGGCTGAAAGTTTTTAGGGTTGACGTCATGCCGCGCCTGACTCAGTAAAAATTAAATTAATTTGACTATCCTCTTTAGTTGATATAGTCATTGACTTTGGTTGACAATTCATTTGTTAGACTAATTAATTCTCTTGTTTAAAAGTTTAAAAACCTTTAGATAACCCAAAATAATTATTGTTTATTACTTTATAGATGAAGTAATATTAATATTTAGTTAATATGTACAATTTAACCAAAATGTATAAAAAAATGCTGGATGTGACTGGAAGTTAAAAATTAAGTTTTTTAGGAAAAGCAAAGAAATAAATTAATAAAAGTAGTGCTAATAAAGTTTTTGGAAATGTTACGCTAAAAATAAGATACTTTGTGGGGTTTCCGGTGGTATATTTGAAAAGTACTATTTTTCCTAATGCCTAAAATGTAAGTATAAAAAAATTGGATTATTAAAAAAAATATATTATATATTCTAAATAATTACCTTCTCATGCTGCTATGAGCATTTTTTTAATATGTATTCGGTTCTATAAAGTATCTGATCGATTCTGTCAATTATTAATCTAGATTTTGTTATAAATTGAAATGTTTGGCAAGCTTGCTTATGCTTTACACGAAAATCGAAAAATCTTAGGTTAAAATCACCAAAATTCGCAAGTTTTAACTCAAATTTCTCTGTTATTTATGCGAAACCCGCAATTGTTTTTTTTTTGTTATTTTATATATACACTTAACGCTATTTTCTAGTTCAATTTTTTTTTTTTCGAAATTCGTCTGTCCGTTACGTTTACAGGAACCAAAGAAACATTTTAAGGTAACACCTACATGGAGAGTGATCTCCCTATTGATGACAGAAAATTGATTCCAAACATTGAAAGAATGTGCTCCAATGACCCAAATCATACTGATGGTTTTCAAACCATTAAATATTTGTATTTGCTCTCTGTTCTTTTTCGACGTTTCAAGTAATTTCCTGCCATTTTTGAAATATGAAAAAGCCACATACAGTGGATTAGATATTTCTGAAACCATACAAAACATTGTCAAATAACAGTCAAAGAATCACAATAAATCATTCAATGTATCATAATAATTGTTTTTTTTTTTTTTTTTATTTCCCATTATATTTAATATAATTCAATTTTAAATTCATACAAATAATTATACCTATCAAAAATCATTTTAAAATACCTATACAATCTATTTATAAAGTTATCCTAATTTTCTTACATCTAAATCTAACTAAAAATCCCAAATTTCAAATAAATTTTAACTATAATTATTTTAAAATACCTATCAACTGCACTCTAATTAAATTTATGTTACGTATTTATGGTAGGGTCCGATTACAATAATTAGAAGAACACAGGTGTGTCATCAGTTGGCTGAAGGTTTAGTGGCGTGTTAATATTGTAGGAATATAGCAAATATTTTTTTTATACCCAACAACTTACTTATTTTTTATTAATTGATAGTTATAGATATATGTATTTAAAATTCGAAATAATGCTTAAGAAGTAGCAGTGTTCTTATTGTAATCGGATTTTACCTATACCTACTTACTTTTCTGTTTTTTGTGCATGTACACGTCATAACTGGTTGAAATTATAATAAGTGTTGCCAAACAAACAAGTACTACTCTAAAAAAAACAAAAAATGATTAGGTACATAGGCATAATTTGAAAAACACTACGAGCAATTACTATTAGAGGGAGTCTTCCCCCCTTCCCTGCGCTAAATAAACACCTACTCCCCCAGAAGGGGGAATACCTCTTCTGTAATTGGCTTATTTAATCAGCGTTGCCAAGTTTGATAGCGAGAGTTCTGACACATGTCAATTTTTGATTTGTATTTTACGAAAAATATGATTATTTATAGCCTTGTAAGGGTTATAAAGGTATATTTGAGATTTATTATCTGTAATAATATAATGAAAACATGCTTTATGCGTAAGAGACCTGTTGAAAATACTTCATCAAGATTATATCATACACAACTTAATTATCAGAGGCGGTGCATTAGGCAATCACCTTTAATTTTCAAATAAACTTTCTTATTTTCGAAAAAGTAAAATTAAGAGGGAATAAACCCCAGCTAAGTTCGTCTTCATCTGTCTCATAATGATTATAGTAAAAGTTAATTACTTATTAATATAAATGAAGAACATTTAAACCTGTGACTTTATTTTAATATCACATCTTTGTTAAGTTGATTATTATTTTTTAGTTATAGATTTCCTTTTCTTGTAGATTTACTTTTCTTGATATGATAAAAAGAAATAAATGGTTCCAAAATTAAGGAATTCAACAAGTGACAACCTGAATAACTTTTTTATACTAATGAAGATTTTTATGACAGACCTCAGGGGAGAAAAATATTAAAGAAAAATGCAATTTCAGTAAATTTCGACGAGAGAGGTATAGAAGAAGAAGAAGAAGAAGAAGAAGAAGAAGAAGAAGAAGAAGAAGAAGAAGAAGAAGAAGAAGAAGAAGAAGAAGAAGAAGAAGAAGAAGAAGAAGAAGAAGAAGAAAGAAGAAGAAGAGAAGACGAAGAAGACGAAGAAGAAGACGACAGCGAGAAGAAGAAGAAGAAGAAGAAGAAGAAGAAGAAGAAGAAGAAGAAGAAGAAGAAGAAAGAAGAAGAAGAAGAAGAAAGAAGAAGAAGAAGAAGAAGAAGAAGAAGAAGAGAAGAAGAAGAAGAAGAAGAAGAAGAAGAAGAAGAAGAAGAGAAGAAGAAAGAAGAAGAGAAGAAGAAGAAGAAGAAGAAGAAGAAGAAGAAGAAGAAGAAGAAGAAGAAGAGAAGAAGAAGAAGAAGAAGAAGAAGAAGAAGAAGAAGAAGAAGAAGAAGAAGAAGAAGAAGAAGAAGAAGAAGAAAGAAGAAGAAGAAGAAGAAGAAGAAGAAGAAGAAGAAGAAGAAGAAGAAGAAGAAGAAGAGAAGAAGAAGAAGAAGAAGAAGAAGAAGAAGAAGAAGAAGAAGAAGAAGAAGAAGAAGAAGAAGAAGAAGAAGAAGAAGAAGAAGAAGAAGAAGAAGAAGAAGAAGAAGAAGAAGAAGAAGAAGAAGAAGAAGAAGAAGAAGAAGAAGAAGAAGAAAAAGAAGAATACTTTTTTGACTACTTTATGAAAAACATGTGTAGCAAGTCTAATACAATTTAGAAATTCTAAATAAATAAATAAATAATAAAGGTAACATATGATATAAATGTATATAACAGAAAAAATTTAGACAAATAGAATAATACAGCCTGTCACTACTTCCTCGCCATATTCATCTGCTACTAAAATACTAAAAGAAAATAGACAAAGCCACGTTTTTCTTCACAATTTTTTTTTAAACTGTAATTTAGTCGACTAATTTTGTGTATTTTTTAAATTTTCATATTATATACTTAATTAATTTTAGATTAAAACAAAATGAACCTCAAAGATATGCTGATGATATGGGGTATCCCAAGAAAATGATAATAAGGTTAAAAAAATTTTAAGAAAACTATTCAGAGCCAAACATAAAATAGTTAGTTAGTCTTCGTGTCCGAAATATAAAGATATAGGTATAAATATTTGGATAATAAGAGTGATTTTTAATTCTATAAAGAGAACGTTATTTGCTTCTAAAGCTCTAATAAACTATATTATGTAGTAACAAACTAAACAAGAATATCACTTTATTCATGTATTTTTTATTTACTAAAAAACGTCCCAAAAAACAATGAATGTTTATTATTGGAATTTATATCGCTATGCTTAAACAATACTAGAACAACTTAAATAATGTGGATTTTGACTATTTTGAGTTATCCAGATGATTATGATCTAAAAAATGTTTTTCTGTTGCTATAGTCAGGTATAAAAATATTCATTTATTTGAGCAAGGTTGCAATATTCATGATAATTAGTTTTTAAGTTAATACCTAGTAGTACATCCTAAAATGTCTTTTTCCATTAGATGTAAGACTCATTATTATATATTTGTGTTAGTGAAATAAGAAATTTTAAGATGGTCTACTGTTTTCTCTAATTATCTAAAAAGTATAGAACAATACAAAGAATGTTTCAACAAAAATAGATATACCTTTAACTAAACACACAACTAGTCAATTCAATTATACGATAACTGAAAGAAGAAATAAAGAAAACTTCTAGAAATTAGTTTTTACTAGAACAATGACATTTTACAAAATAATTATTAAAGAAAAGTCGGCACCTAATAACATTGACGATAGGTTTTTATAATATTTATCATACAAATCACAACGAACTACACAAAATGACATTATTAATAATTTAAGCAATAAATAAATAAATAAAGTAATAAATAAATAAATAAATAAAAGTTCATTTTCTCGAAATTAATTTTTTTAAATTGTCCTAGTACCTCCCTACTGTTATAGCACAATAATATTATATAAATGTGCATTGTGTGATGTTTTATATTTTAGGAATAAAATAATATTTTTTGCAGATTTCTCTTAACAACGATTCTAAGAACTTTTAAAAATATTATTAAAACGGCCTTTACAAATATAATTCTCAATCAAGAGCTTTCAATTTTCATTCTCCAAAAGGTTACAGCTACGTAAGAAGAAAGTAAAATAAGACTTACCTCTTACTAGATCCTAAATATCTAAATGTTACAACCAATTGATGGTTCTCCTGCTTTCCATAGAGTGAAATTCTCCTAGAAAGTACTAAAATAAAAGTGGCAGAGGCAACCGAAAAAAGCAAAAGAGTCTTTTGCCAAACAAAAACAAGAAATTTGTTTAAGAACCTAATTATTGTTTGAAGATTTACCATCAATAATGAAATCAATGAAACTGGGACCAAAAATAAATTACAAAAACCCTCATAATATTAAAAAATGGGAAAACGTCAGAGTAGTTATGTTCAGGGATCAACTCTTTTAACATGTGTCTACTTAAAATATGTCACTTTTAGAAGGTATGTTACTAACTTTCTATTTGTACATGTATTAATATATTTCATTTTATCTCTGTTTGTTGTATTTTCAAATTAATTTTAATATTAATCTTATCTATTTCTATTTGTTTTTATTTTTTCATTGAACCAAACGTTTATTAGCTTATTAAATATAATGAATTCCTAGTTGTTTTATTATATGCTTGCATGAATGACTACTTTTATTTTCTTTTGAAAATTAATTTTGAAGATAAAGCCGAAACGGTGAGTGAGAATAAAAAATTAGACGAAAATGACGATATTTACTGGAGCTTTCATCTCCACTTTTCTTTTTCTAGTATATCTACACCTGAGACAGCAAGATTTGTCGTCCCTTCATCCTTGCATTCTCAAGATTTACAGAGAATCCTCTTTTACATATCCGGGTCTTCTTTGATACATTATCAGCAATATTTGTTATCCCGAGGAATTTAAATGCATTCGTAATTGCTCATTCTAATTTCTTGTAGATTCTGTACCCATTTTTAAAAAATTAGGCCTTTACAGAAATTTTGTTTTATTTCCTACATCAGACACACATATAAGACGGTAAACATTTTAAAAATAGTAAAATTAGCGAATTTTTCAGTTTTTTTACAATTAAAAAAGCTTGAATATGTGTATTCTTACAGAGAAATGATACGTCACTGAACAAGAGGGAATTTACCTTTCTCCTTTTGCCCGCTTCCTCACTTCCTCTACAGATGTTGCGAACACAACATTCGCCTACAAACTCATTTCACGCTCCCTCTAGTAGTAATTGCTCTAAGGAAAAACGTATATCGCTCCTTTAAAACAAAAGTGACATGTGACACTACCCAAAAAATCCGTTTAGAGTTCTTTTTTTAAATTAATATTTTATTTTTAATATTTCTGGTTATAAATAAATTAAAACTATAGAATAACATTTTTGTGAGTAGTATTTTAATAGTTATCTTTGTAGTACAAAATAATATTATGAGTTAAAAGTGTTTTTTTGAAAATTTTTCATTTTTGTAAAGTGTCATGTTTATTTTCAATGCACGATAATAAATATATCCCTCTAAAAATAAGGTTTATTTGATAATAAATATAGTTTAAAAAAAACTAAAAAAACACGCTGTTAGAGCATATAAATCGTCGAGCGCTCGATGTACGGGAAATATGGACAAAGCGCCCCACGCTTTTTTCACAATAATACTAGTATTTTCCATTTATTATTTTAAGCTTATTTGAAAAATTATTTTTAACTTTTTAGTTTGATATGATCTAAAAGCGTGTTTTTTTAGTTGTTTTAAACTATATTTATTTTTCACTTTTTAGTTCGATGTATTATAAAAGCGGGTTTTTTAGTTTTTTCAAACTATATTTATTTTTTACTTTTTAGTTCGATTAATTATTAAAAAAAAAAATTGCAGCCGTGGGGATTAGAACCCAAGATCGATGAGTCTGGCAATCGAAAACCTGCGAATTAGACCGCTCGGCCACGAACGTACTTGAGTTAGTAGGATATACTGACAGTAATAAGCCACTTGAGTCCAAAGGAGAGTTACAAACATACATACATAGAGGTGAAGCTAATATAAGAGTGTTAAAAATAAGACGATTAAACGAAACATGCTTAGGTCAAATATTACTCGTTTCCGAAATAGAGGGTTGTTAAATTTGAAAATTCAAAAATTATTAATGTCTACAATTTTATTATTATCCGGTATAATTTTACAAAATTAAGCAAACGTTTTTGGCGTCAAAAAAATTAGTTAAATAAAATTTTTCAGTGGCATACGACAAAATTTTACGTCCCTATACAAAAGCATCTTTTTGGACTATAATTTTAAATTTTTGTTTGTTTTTTAAATAAATAATATACTCGTACTCTTCTTGCTTTATTTTCAGTATACTATTAATTGTTTTGGTATTATTTGATCATTAATGTATTTTAAATGGGACACCCTATTTATTTTAATAAAGATAGTCCCTTTAAATTAATAATATTTTGGCAGTTTTTTAGAATATGAAACAAAATGACCTCATAGCTGAAATCAGAATAGAAAAAAATTGAAACTCTCCTAAAAAGAAATCACTTAAAAACTATTTATATGACTTATTTGTGTCAAAATTTTATTATAGAGATTTATTAAATATTATGTGTTTCTTGTAGAAGGACAACCAGTATGTACCTATGTATTTACAGGGTGTCGCAAAGTAATTTAACTAAAAGCATTTTGATATTTTAGTTGAGCTCGCTATGAAAGTTTGTATTTTTTAACAAGGCATTCAATAATTGAAATTGATTTAAATTTATATATAACTTGCAACGCTATTCTTATTGTATAAATACAGTTGACTTACACTGCTAAATATAATTGAAAAAAAGTGTAAAGAGTACCTACAACTTACATCATAACAATATCTCCTCTGGTAAATTTTTGTAGATCCTGCTTTGTATGACATAGACGATCATTGATTATTGTCTCATTTAGCAGCATAAAATCTTTTGCCGTACAAGCGTTTGGCAAACAAAGACCTAAGGTAAAAAATTCCTAAAAACGAACAAAATTTCTTTCAAAATCGTGTGAAATTCCATGCCATAAGGATATAATTTGAAATATGGCAACATAGTTAGGGAGGTTACGGTTCTTGTTTGTCATGTTCCTAAAATGCCAATTGAAGCAGTAATATACTCTTTATAACACAAATTGTATAAAATGTGATACCCTTTATTTGTATAAAAATTCAAGGCTGTTTTATCGAGAATTTAAATTGAAGGACATTTTCATAATAAACTAAAGGTTAAAATTTAATTTTAAATAATTTGGCCCTGTACCAAATAATAATTTATGAGAGAGATGTCTTAAATCATACACAAATCAAACTAGGAGACCAATTAAAAATAGTTTTAATAAATATTTATTATTTGTTATTATTTCAAATATCTTCCATTTAAACCTACTTTAGTTACCCTTACAAGTTGCCACTTGAGTATAAAAACAATAATTTTTCATACTTACGGTGTAATTAAAACCAGTAATATTACTTGGCACAATCGAAGTAGGTAAAATAATTCCGGCATGGCAGTATTTGCCAGTTATCGTACCTTTAGAGTACTCAAGGTTAATGTCAACGCATTCATCATAATCTCCCCAATCTAGTAAACTTGATGTTAATACTCCGGTCCAAGGAAATTTTGAAGTAGCATCAAAAACTAAAGAAAAAATATCAAAGCATTGGAAAATACAAACAAAATAAAAAATTATCAATAGAAAATAATTAAGGCACTAACAATCTAAAAGAAACTGATTGGTTTATTAACAATAAATGAAAAATTAAATAAGTGTTGATAAAATGCAAACAAACCTTCAATATTATCATACAAATGAACGCCAGTGACATATTTGACAGAACTGACTTCAGTTGTAAAAGTAAATAAAAATTCACTTTCAATGTTTCATCAGATCACGCGGAATACCTACGGGTATCGTTGAAGATTATGAACATCATAAGATTATTTAGTGACAAAATACTGTTACAAGTTTTTTTTTAAACTTTACGTAATAAATAAGCAAAAATACCAATTTACAAAATTTGTTAGTTATAATTATTTTATTTCTAGTTTTATAGTTGCATTTTACAGTTTACAGCAGTTGGAGTTGCCTAACATTTAGATATTTAAATCATCTTTTGTCTTACTTCTAACGTTATTCACAAGTACTTGAACACATTACACTAAACCTACTATTGCAAATATTATAAGGGAAAATCAAAAAGGAAACTTACGGCTCACATAGGCTCTGTAGTTTTGAGTTCGCAGTTCGCGATACTGTTCTTGACAAGGCGTCAAACTATCCCCATTCGCAAAACTGCTTACGATAGCTTTGTCAAATTTTTCAAAATCAAATAAATTTTCGAAATCTCGTGACAAAACTACATTCGCGAAACTCAAAAAAAACACCCAGCGAAACATTTTAGGTTGTATCATTAGTTTAGTCGAAACTAAAGAAGTGTGATAAATAAGATAACAATCGAGAATTCTAGTATATATTCTATTTTTTCATTTCAAGTGGTTTGATATTGTTATATTTCGAGCAACCATTCATAGATGTACAAAATTGTACTTTGATATCAAATATGTTTTTGCTGATTTCCATTTAATAGGACAGCGCCTAGAGAATTTGTAGTATGTAATAAACTCCACAGCTTTTGTTTCATTGGACCTAGTATATTATTTTCAAGTAGATCGTATCGTCTATTATCAACAAACTAGGCCATACAGATATATAAAGAAGTGTAAAAAATAAAAAAATAAAAATTCAGGAATATGTAACAAAGTTATCATATAACTAAAGATCATTATTAATCTTAGGGGCAAATTATAACATTTAAATTTGAGGCACGGTATTTAAGGCTATATCCCTGTACAGACCGTCCCATTACCGACCGCGACCAAAAACTACCTGCTCGAGTGCCACTACCGCCCGCGCAGGATTTACTTATTTTTTGTATATCCCACTACCGACCACGAGATTCGATCACATAACAAATATGTTGTAGTTCTGAAAAGAACTGATTTTGTTTCAGTAATTTACATTTTAATAATTGATAAAAAATATTTTTATTTCGCTTTCAGTTAGAAACTATATTAAACGCTCCCCGTAATATTATACATTGAATTCTTATTTTATTTAATTATTATTATTATTTAATTTATAATTGAACAATAAGAAAATCAATTGACCTGGTTATTTTCGGAAATAAAATTAAAAATAAATTAATAAATACGAAGATTAACAATCATAAATAATCGACTTTTCATTTATTAGCAAGCCCTAAATTTTGGACTTTCCTCCATAGACTTTGGGTAAAATGAAAATTGCATCCTTTGAGCTTATAGTCTCGAAAAACTTTCCTAGAAGCATTTATTGGTGAAGTTTCGAAATCTATTTTCAACTGTTTGGGTGTAAAATTTGGAATGCGGTTTTTTTACCAGTTAAAATAACCTCATATAAGTTTGTTTCTTCCTGTCTGGCAACAAAGTATACAATACTGGTCGAATACATGTGACTTCTTCGGTGCTTCGTAAATCCACATGAAAAGTTTTAAATTGATTAAATAAAGAATTGCAACTTTTAAATGTACCATCTCCAAAAATAGTGCTGCTTGATGCTAACGTATTAATGCCCATTTTACTTGCAAATCCAATAAATCTGTCAGTAGCACCATCATCAAATACTAGGAATTCTTCATTTATGTGATTAGGAATCACAAGATCTTCACGCGTTTTTGATAATTGTGGTGTTCCCAAACATTTATTTCGTTGTCGGTATAAGGATGATTTTATAATAATAATAATAATAATAATAATAATAATAATAATAATAATAATAATAATAATAATAATAATAATAATAATAATAATAATAATAATAATAATAATAATAATAATAAATAATAATAATAATAATAATAATAATAATAATAATAATAATAATAATAATAATAATAATAATAATAATAATAATAATAATAATAATAATAATAATAATAATAATAATAATAATAATAATAATAATAATAATAATAATAATAATAATAATAATAATAATAATAATAATAATAATAATAATAATAATAATAATAATAATAATAATAATAATAATAATAATAATAATAATAATAATAATAATAATAATAATAATAATAATAATAATAATAATAATAATAATAATAATAATAATAATAATAATAATAATAATAATAATAATAATAATAATAATAATAATAATAATAATAATAATAATAATAATAATAATAATAATAATAATAATAATAATAATAATAATAATAATAATAATAATAATAATAATAATAATAATAATAATAATAATAATAATAATAATAATAATAATAATAATAATAATAATAATAATAATAATAATAATAATAATAATAATAATAATAATAATAATAATAATAATAATAATAATAATAATAATAATAATAATAATAATAATAATAATAATAATAATAATAATAATAATAATAATAATAATAATAATAATAATAATAATAATAATAATAATAATAATAATAATAATAATAATAATAATAATAATAATAATAATAATAATAATAATAATAATAATAATAATAATAATAATAAATAATAATAATAATAATAATAATAATAATAATAATAATAATAATAATAATAATAATAATAATAATAATAATAATAATAATAATAGATAGATAGATAGATAGATATGTTTATTGACTTAATTACATGGTTTTTGTATTTTACGTCACAGTACAATGGTAGTAAACTATTACAGATAAAAATATAATATAAAATATAAGATAAAAATTTAAAAAGACAAATACAAATACAAAATATAAGATAAAAATTTAAAAAGACAAATAAAGTAGATACGAAACAAATACTATTTTGTAAATATAAAAAAGTCTTGAATAGAGTAGAAACAATGCTCCAGTAGGAACTCTTTAACTGTTAAACGGAATTTATTAACATTCATATTTTTAATAGAAACGTTACGATGATAGTTCACAAAGTTGTTATATAAATTATAGTCTGCTTTATTATTTTGGGTGATGTTTATCCGTGAGAAAGGGTTTACAAGATTCTCCCTATTCCTTGTAGCATAATTGTGAATACCCGTGTGTGTGGGGATATGATTTCTATTTTTGTGTATCCATAACAATGATTCCAAAATATATACACAAGGCACTGGAAGGATCCTGTAACCCTTAAACAACGGTTGACAGTGAGTTCCATATGGAGCTCCTCCAATTATCCGTACTGCAGCTTTTTGACAGCTAAAGAGTTTCTGTAGAGCACTTGTCCTACCCCAAAGTATAATTCCGTATGTTAAGTGGCTGTGGACTAGAGCGAAATATACAGTTCTTAAGGCATTTATATCTAAAACCGAACTTAATTGTCTGATAACAAAATTTTGGGATGCTAATTTCCGGCTGAGAGTGTCAGCATGTGCTACCCAGTTCAAGGTTGTGTCAAGTGTAACACCCAACAATTTAACCGGTTTAGATTTAATTGCATGTTTATCCGCGCTAAATAATATTCTTGTAGTTTTACTTTCATTAAGTTTTAACTTGTTGGCAGTGAACCATCTTTTAGCAGTGTCTAGATCGTTCTCACTTGAAGCTGTGTTTCCCCTAGAAAGAAGGGTTGTATCATCAGCGTACAGTATGCAGGTACAAGCGTCGAGTGTTGTTGGTAAATCGTTTATGTAAATTAAAAACAGGATAGGTCCTAGGACTGATCCTTGTGGGACACCGTTTTTAACAGGTAAAATCTCTGATTCAATATGTTCATGACTTACATACTGCACCCGCTCGGTCAGATAGGACTTTAGTAAGTCGTAGCTATTGCCCCTTATTCCATAATAGTCCAATTTAATCAGTAACAACTCAATATCAACGCAGTCAAATGCTTTGGTTAGATCACACATAGTGGCATGTGTGTTGTACGTTTGATCAATGCCATCGACTACGTCTTCAATCAAGGCTGTTACCGCATCAATTGTTGATTTTTTTTGCCTGAAGCCAAATTGTGATTGAGAAAATAAATTGTTATTTTCTAAATAGGAAACTAATTTATTTTTAACGATAATCTCAAAAATTTTGGAAATGATAGGGACAATAGTGATAGGGCGGTAATTGTCTATACATTCAATGTCACCCTTCTTAAAGAGTGGCAATACCTTTGAAATTTTTAGTGAATTTGGCCAGTGGCCTTCTTGAAAACATTTATTGATAAGTATAGTAAGTGGCTTGACAAATACTTCAACTGCTGATTTAATCATGCGGCTACTAAGTCCGTAGTGATCAAGGCATGCAGAGTTTTTTAACCTTAGAATAGCGGCACGCATATCACTTTCTAATACAGGTGACAAGAAAAAGGAAAATGAGGGTTTTGGTTGCCTATTTAAATAATCTAATGGGTTAGCACTATCAGTATTTATACTCCCAGAAATAACTTCGGCTATTTGAGAAAAAAATATGTTAAATGCATCCGAAGAGAGAGTGGTGGGTTTTTCATTTGACCTTTTAGATTTATTTGAATAATTTACAATCTTCCATATTGTTTTAGGTTTATTATCTGAAGTCTCAATTTCTTCAGCGTATGACTCTCGTTTGGCCTTTACTAATGCTTTACGATATTGTTTCCGTATATGTATAAACTCGCGCCAATCCAAATCTGAATTTGTGAATTTAAATCTTTTTTGCCAAAAAAACATTTCTTTTCTCTTATATTTAAGATCATCATTAAACCAACTTAAACCCTTACAGCGTTTTGAGAAGGTTTTTAAAGGAAAACACTCATTCGCGCATTCGACTAGTGTGTTATGCAAAAGGTCACTCAAGTCTGGTGCATTCATATCTTCATAAACTGATTCATTGCAAATAATTTTAGTTATAAAATCAACAAATTTTTTAATAGTTTTATTAGTGATTGATCTTTTCAAATATTTATTACAGTTATTATCCCCACATACTCCAGTATTAACTGTCGTATATATACCAAGATGATCGGCTATCATCGTATCAATTACACCGGTAGTAAAGTTTTTAGAGTTCAAGTTAGTTATGATATTATCAAGACACGTTTGAGTGGTAGGTGTAATTCTTGTAGGAACGTGAATATTATGCTCTAGTCCAAAGGTCTTTAGACAATTATTAAAATTAAACATAAATTCGTCATTACCGTTAAAATCCAAATTAAAGTCACCTAATAAAATAATCTTTTGATATTTCCTAAAAATAAAATCTAACAAATTTAAAAGGCACATTTTAAAAATACTAGGATCTCCAAAACTAGATGATCTATATACAGCCAAAATAAAAATGTTGGTGCCAACAATTTCTGCCCCACAAAACTCAGCATGAATAGGACGACAGAAATCTGTGACCTCGACACTTTTCAGCTGAATCCCGCTTTTGGCATATATTGCGACACCACCATGTTGTCTTATATCCCTGCAATAAAAAGAA